ACGCTTCACGCCCACATCCAGCAATTATTTAGCACATTTAAGTACTGGGGTATACATAACTGTCAACCATTGGCCTTAACTTTCGACCTACGTGTACTGGAGCCTCACTCATCTCCCAGTAACCACTGAAATATTGTGCAACCCACGCAGTGTTGCCAGCATTGCTGACACATTTACCCAATTCGGAGTTTAATTATTTAGACAGGTAACACTAAACAATAGGACCTTAAATTAGAAGGTTACACTTGGAATTCTAATGAGATAGGTATAATTTCGAAACTGACGACCGATTATTTTAAGGTGGATTTATAAAGCAAGAGTATCCTTGTTTTACTGATAGTATTGATAGTGAAGGAAGCGTTTTGTTAACAAGTGTGAGAGAACAGAAAAATAAATAGAAGATGTTAGAAGATGTATTAATAAATGTTTAGTATAAAAATAAATATCATAAAGAAGTAAAAGGACTGAGTTGTGTGTTACGTAAAGGGATATTCATAAATTCTGTCTCCATTAATGACATTTTTTTGTGATCGAAAGACTGAATTTTATACAAGATGAGGTTTTTATACAACAAAGTACACATTTCAATTACAACAACATTAAAACATTGCAAACTTTTTGCAAACTAATTTATGCCTTTTCAACTTAGATATAAAATTCAAGATATGACAATCTTTATAAATAATACATAATCTTGGAGCGACTTCCCCGTACATCCAGTTCGGTGACATTGCGTAATCTGATCAATGATCCTGGTCGCCATATTGCTTTTTTTTTTCGAGATCGACCACGTAATTAACGTCCGGTTGGATTGAAAGAATAATATAATGAAAGAAATTACTCGTTTAAGTGTTGTCATATGGATTCTACTGGTTCATATTATGCCTTGTACAATAGTATTAATATTTATAATACACTAGCTGTTACCTGTGACTTCGTCTTCTTTTTTCAGATAAATAATACTGTTTACCCTCAAAGTGATAAAATCTATATTTACATAAATAATTAAGATTTGTTCAATAGCGAAAAGAAAATAAATTTCTTTTGCGTTTATAACACCTGTTAGTTAGAATTTAATGTATTAAATAATACTCTCTGCATAATAATCCTATCGCTCTTGATTACGTGTCTTCATTTTACCACATCTATTCATCCTCAGCGCTACCAGTCAAGAATGAAGGGATGGGGATGCACAAACGGCCACGTTGAAACTACAGAATTATGTTTCTTAACATATTCCTTTGGAATTGCAACGCATGACTGGTATCATGGGGGTCATATGATAATATGTCATGCTGATGTATGTAGGTGACGGTTACCAAATACATAAAAAAGGCATCACCATTCCATCATCATCTACAAAAACATTCTGATAGATATTATGTGTGATCGAGTGACAGCTAGCTAAGAACGTATGGTGACGCGATCTTTCAAGTCCATTTACACGCCTCCATCACGGACAATAAAACGAAAACTACATTTTCTCATAGTTAAGCCGTTAAAAACCAACGATTATACGGATTTCGTATATAGTCGTTTTATAATTGAGTCGGTTCTCATAGAACAAAAACCTTTTTTGGACAATGGACGAAATTATAACAGAGCAAAACCGACCGTTAGGGAGTTTCACATATTTAAATGCTTATTGCTACTAACATGACATATGACGATTAATTATTATTGTGCTATTGTGAAAATCCGTGCGACCACATATGAAATGAGTTGGGACGGCAGGTGGTGGCAAGCAAGCTAAGTAGGTAGCCAAGTGCTCTACTTGATTGCTGAGAAATTTTGGGAAACTACTATATTGTGTAGAGTTAAGTATATGTACCTATGTTACTAAAACTGTTCACTGTTAGAAAAGTACTTTATTCCAGAGTTACATGAATATATTAATTACTTACTACGAATTATTTTAAAGTTTTCATAAATTGCATATTTGCTCATTTTAAGTAAATATTATCTCGTCAGTGGTTTTTACTTATTATGGCCAGAGTTGGAACTGAGAATAACCATAAAAATATAATCTGAATCACATAAATGGATTGGTATATGATCGAGTTTTTAGAGAGTATCTAAACATACCTACGTAAAGTTTCATTTGGAATAACGTTTCTGGTATATTTGACCAAAAATGCAAATAAAATAGGAACTGGTTTATCAGGCTACGTACCTACCCAAAAATGTCAGATAAATTGAACCACTAATTGTAAAAACCACTGTTATTAATCTAGCTAAAACCAACAGGCAATAAATAAATTTCTCGATTATATTGATCTGCGGAATTCCTAAATTAGACAACGTTCCACGACTACTTTTTCAATTTGTTACTAAGTAGACTTATAACTGTATACGTACCGCCTAACTTCATTATGACGGTGTAAGTAATAAAACGACCATTAAACCAGCTAGTTAACAGTGACAACGAACCCATGGCCGAAATGAAATCATCGTGGTAGCAATTAGAATTCGTGTACATGTGTAAATTATGAAAAATGCAGCTGCTGGTTTCCTTTCCTTGAGCTGACCGCCATTATAGTCGGGCGCACCTGCTTGACGGCAATGTGTCCGGCGAGAATCGAGGCACGAAACACATTTAAAAATGGAATCGAATATAATATCAGAAATCATAACGCAATCATACACGCACCGAACACTTAACGTTCCATACGAGCTATGACATTCTATGTCCTAGATATGCGACAGGTAGACGCCGTACTTAATCAAGATACAGAATGTTGCGCTATGCTCGATAATACAATATCTCACTGCAATCAAAGAATACCTAATTCCATTTATAGTCTTAATAAAAATTTCTTATAGATGAACAAATCGGGGTCCCAACAAAAGTAACCTTCAGTGAATTATTTACTTTAAATTGGAAATTATTATTGCGGTTTCGAGCAGACGTGTTTCCGATGCCGCTTCCGATCGACGCTCGAGTGATCACGCAACTCGTTTTAAATGCGATCTGAGAAAGAGTTTAATGTGGAATAGCTCTGGGCGGTGGCAGCTTGCATGCACGTGAGCATCGAAAAGGGAATACGCGGACATCGATATCCACAGAGGTGGTTATCGAGTACGAAGTATCGATTTGACGATCGGTGGACAATTACATCAATGCCCGGCGATCGTCACGTAGACAGGACTGGGGGCAACATAAACCAGTCCGGCGCGACGCGGTGGTGCGCAAAATACCGTTTTTTTATGGAACAACGCGACTTCATTCATAATGTATTATAGCGCCTTGAAAACTCACTCGTTCACATACACACGCATCGAGCTATAAATAAATGTAGATGATACACGAGTTCGGTACGAGTGTGAGAGACGGACCCACCATGACCATTTAATTAAACCTGACTGTGGGACGTTTCAAAATCAATTAACAAAAACCTAACTATTGGTGACAGAGTAACCAACTACATGAAAGCATCACGGACAAGCCCGAGATCTTGTGAATCGATCGATTCCCGGCACACAAACGAGTTTTTAATATTTACATGTAAAATGCATTTGTGTTTGTTAATAACGGTACATTGGCGAACACATTAATACCGAAAGAAGTGATCGTACACTGCGCACACGCATGCATGAGGATAGGTTCCCTCATTGCAAATTACCATTGGAGACCGGTAAACAACGCGGGAGAACAAAAAGACACCCTACTGGTGTATCGATTTTTTATCCATCGGGGACTCGTTGACATTTCGGAGGGGATCGTGCCATAAACATAGTTATGATCGTTATGTTTATTATCAACATCACTACTCACAAAACCTACGATAGAATGCTATGGTGATACGAGTGTGAGTCTATAACCTATGTAGCGATTGGGAAAGTAGGTATAGAGTTAGCATCGCATCGATATTATCAGAATCGATGTCGGGTTGTACAGAGTGAATCATGTAGAGAGCGTTTATGCTATTTGAGATGCTGTGTTGCGGATAATGTTGCTTGTTTTAAACAAATAAACATATCCTGCTTGTGATTGTTTGATTAACTGTTTATTATTGCACTATTAGTCTAACGTTTCTAGTTTTCAATTATTTAACTTGTTCTAATGACAAATTACAATATTTATGTTGAGTTATATAAAGTTATTTTATATATATATTTTGAACACAAATAGACTGTAACCACGAAAGTTAATGAATGAGTTCACACGTCAGTCTTAAAAACTGCCCTTTGGTTTAGTTAATAACCTTGACCGGTTCATAGGGCAATGACCGCAAAAGTAATCTCAAGTATACCTAATCTATCATATACATTTTTATATAAGTACTGACTAATTATGTAATATTTTATCTTTCAATCTGTCTGTCGCATTACCTATTTACGTAGATGTTTATTTACATTTTAGATGTTTTGGTGTCTCGGAAATTAGCGACGGTCATTAAACAAGAAGGGGGTACCGTCGTGTAAACTAGACCGAACTACTAACCCTGCCCGAAATATCTCGCCTTCAGAGACGTCTGGAAGGGTTATTCCTGTCCCGCATGCAGTCGGATCGTCGCGGATTCGCTTCTTTCAGAGTCAACCTCGCTCGAAGGCTCGGAATGCATCTAATTTTAAAGCGAAGAGGCTCGCGACCTAGCTGACCCCGCGCGCCGGGCGTATTAAAACCTGAACTTTCTTTATAACTATGTACCTCGTCTACCTATGTTTGCTCAGTAAACGTATTGAACACACACAGACATAGGCGCGACTACGAGTCGGACCGGCGAGGCTCGCGGCCGGTCACGACTTGCCGAGCTCACCTAACCTACACCCTCGCTCCGAACTATATCCAGGACAATCTGCTAATCCGAACGCCGCCACACTCGCTACTCGTGGGAAAGTGACGGTCGTGTAAATGCAGAACGGCCTCGCGCCTACGGCCACCGGCATTGCAATGTTTATACTCGCGCATCGATGCCAACGGCTCGGCTTGGTATTGCTATGCGAAACATAAACAAACGGGGATTTGCGGTTTTCCATATGAGTGTCCGTGTCAGTACCTGGGGTAGAAACCCTAGCAGGGCGATGAGCACCGCGGGGGCGCGCATGCTGGCGCGACCGGGCTAGCGGCGCCGGGGCATATATGTCGGGTTTTAAACCCGCCGGTCGTAGGTCGTCAGCACTGAGAAGATCCGCAGTAATCCATCACTCGCACATGCACTGAGCGTTTCACTGTAAGTCACACAGCACAACAATCGAGATGTCACTGGTAGCTCACCGGCTTTCGAGCCGATCGCGGGAATGCACTACGTTCGAAACGCGCGCGTCGCGTGTGTTGACTCGTTTGAGCCGTTACGATGTGTTTACGCGGCAACGCGTGACGGCGGACTGAGGGAACGGCGGGCCGCGGTACATCGGGAGCAGCGCACCTGGTGGCCGGTGCGGGCCCGAGAGATGGCGCTGCGCGGCGCATCTGCCGGCCGACGCCCCCCGCGCGCCGCCGGTGCTCCCCTTCGCCAGCCAACCAGAAAATACACGGAAAACAGACGTCTGTGCTCACGAACACGTGCCCATATGTAAAAACTTCGAAGATATGAGCGATATTGTAGTTTCATTCCAAGTAGGTAGGTATCTTTAGTGATGCATTTTTTGCAGCCTGTAAAGGTAGACCTACCTACCTAGTAGATGCATATTATTAAATGAAATAAATATGTACATGTATACCTACTTAAATATTATGTGTAAAAACTGTCAATTTGTCATAATTTAAAGTACAAGTAGTAAAACATATGCTACTGTATTATTAACAATTTAAATTCGTTGTTAAGATATAATATAGTTGAACAAGTAAATATACCTACTTGATGTTAACACAGACTTACATAATTAAATCCTAATTTAATGTTATACCTACGAATAAAATTTTAGTTGTAATAATTACCTACATAGTAACACAATAATAGTTAGAAATTATAATGTTGAATATAACACAATATTATTTAATAAAAAAAATTAAGATTGAAAACAATAGAAGATTAATAATAATAATAGAATAATTATATTCCAATGAACTATATTGAACCATACCATAATACTATAGTATGTTATGATAGATTTTATTTGCTACATAATCAGTCTATTGATTGTCCACGAAACTAGGATACCTACGTGTTATTCAGGGAAAACGAATGAACACCTGGTATTACGTCGCAGGCAGAAAGGACTCCACATAAGTCAATTCAGAGATGATTACATTCAAACGGGGAATCGAAGGTAAACAACGTACACCACTGTACCGCTAAGACCATTCAATAAGGGTCTTTAATATGTATTTTAATGCTTTATTTTCTACAGGCTTTGAGGTAGATCGTATATATTATTATAATGTATTTCTATATATGGCATATTTCTAAATTAAAACATATCATTGTTTATACCTGAATTTATTGTACCTACACTGTAATAAGGTAAACATAATATTTACAGCACTTTTTTATGCATGGAATGAACCCCCCTACGCTTACAGTAGATACACCTACCTACGCTGGCGGAGCACCAGTGTAGGATGACACATTGAGGATGAAGTCAGGTCAGTTAGCACGTCTTGGCAAATTGTAATTTACTACGATAGTTTCCAGGGAGAACCGTGTGAGGTCAACCTGGCAGTATATTGCTAGCAATGGAAGTATTAGTCCTTACTAACAATCCCATTCCCTCTTATTTACTGCTTCTGGGTATTATTTTAAATTTACTTGTAGTTGCTCATTAATAATTATAATATTTTTTATTTAATAATAAGTCCATTAAGATCAGGTGTCCGGAAATGATACAGATAATTATGCAAAACTTACAGAAGCTTTCGCATGATAAAGTTCAATCTACTTATGGATGTTTGGCAAAATCTTAAAGATTATTGGCACCTGCCCCGGGCAATTGTAGTGATAAACATATTCATGAACCTCAGAACGGAACTGCTCCGGAGGAGAACACGGCAGCCGTAGGCTGGTGAAATTCAGGGAGCTACAAGCCATAGTTAGATATAATATCCTCCTTGATGCTAAAGTTTCTAATAACAACGAATATACTTTTACTTTAAATTTTGATATAGTGAATCGAAATTGACTTGAAGTATGTATTACGGGTTATAGGGTTATCACCTTTTTTTTTTTAAAGAAAACATTATGATTATGTTTTTGTAGTAATAAAGATTATTAATTTTTGATTAATTTAAATATTTTCTATTTCCGTGGTTTATTATTACTTATGACTATGATAATTGACAAGTGTGAGAAACAACAAATTTTCTGTTCTGGTTCTGTCACTCTCGAGCACCGTGTGTGTTTTGGTAAAAATTGTTTTAATTTTGATCTATTGAATTAACATAGTACATTTCTTCTATATTTTATATTACAATTGACTAACATATAGTAAAAAAGTGTTGAATTAAAAACCATACGTGCAAATAGACAGAAACATACGCAAAAATATCAAATCAAATTTATTAATTTACTTAATACACTTGTCGGGAATCGAATCCTTATTACTTCGAAATTAAACTCCATTCAGCTCAGTGGTATGCAATCTGTCATCGCACCTCTACTATTTTGAGTGGCCGTTTAGTTTTTATTGGTCGTCATAGGCCACGCCTATACCTACTAGGTACCTATTGACTGTTGCTCCACATACTTTATGGCAATGTGATTCAATTGTTTCTATGTTGACATAATATGCCACTTTGAATTCTAATGGCTGCTGCTTAAAGTCCACAATGAGAGATCTGTTTCTTTATTTAAATATAACTAAATGAAGAATTACAATTAATGTAACACCTGGTATTATTAATTACAATAAACAAGTAATTTATTGACTTTCAAAATCAATAACTGTATGGGTATCATGATCATTTATGATAGCACTTGATGATGATGAAGATGACAAAAATTAACGTTTAAGTACGTACACCATTATACTATCACTAACTTTTGGCTGGTAATGGATTTGATGATATGGATAATAATGGAATGACGCAGCTGCCAGCGCTAACAGTATACGCTGCAGCTCCAGCGGAGGATGATAGGATGGGAATAAGGTCAGATCACTTAGCCCAAATCTCATCTACCAAATCATTAAATTACTGTAATTCCCTAAGTAATGCTAGCCTGATTTGATCTGCTCTGCATACGTTTTCAATTAACAAAAACACTAACATAAAAATCACCGGCTAACTAACCCATATGCGTTAAGAAAACTGCATTCTTTGCCGGTAATAATTTCCGGTTTCTCATCATTCACACCGGTTCAAGCGGTTAGTAGTTTGGGCTCGGTTATCGGTTTTATCTCATTTCTATGTAGATTAATTTGTCTCAGATAAAATATCTGCGAACTAATTGGATCAAAGTCATACTTGTCAGTAGATTTATAGCATTTGTCTATTTTTACTAAATGTGGACTTTTTTGAGTGTAATAGGAGACTTTGTACAAAGTTATCTGTTTGTAGATCTCTGTGCCATATATACGTGAACTTTCAAGCAGTTTGCTCTACGTCATTCAATAGCAAACAACCATAAAATTGTATATGTTTGACATAAAAAGGTATGTTTTAAAATCCGCCTTTCCTCAGCCCTTCTTCGACGCTGTCCACCCAGAAAACATTTTACTTAATTGCGTATCTACCATACTAGTTGTTACCATACTAGTTGGCAAATGACCTGGTTTTATCTTCAATCTTTCAACTTTCAATGGTACTTTGCTTGATTTAATAGTGTAAGGTACAGGCATGATCACTATTCCAATATCCACAAAAATGTATTATGCAGGTACATATTTAGCCAAGATATTTCTATCAGATAACGTGTCAGCATATTTGGCATTCCTAATTCTTCACTAATAAAAATATCAAACATAGAACACACCTTTAACTATCTAGTTAACATGAGCATAATCCATTAAAATACTATTTCACATGAAATTCGCGTGCAAAATACGTTCCTAGTGCTTTGAAACAAAGAATTAATACCGCACCTGTTGCAGACACGCCCAGTTCACACTACCGGAGTGTAAGAACCCTGACACGAATGGAGATCGTAGATATGCTGGAACATAAACAAACCACTGATTACCGACACAGACTGACATCATGTAGACTTTTCCTGAAAAGAAATTTGAAAACTCTTTAGGACTTTACGTGGAAAATGATAGATGAAATATAATAACAGTGATAATAATATTTATTTATTGCAAGAACAAGAAGAATATTTGAATGCGTACACTGTTAACTTAAAAGTAATGAGTCTCTCAAACTACGTATAAATTAACCGAAAAAGTAGTAGTACCTTATACTGCACATTCTGGGCAATATCCTTAAATCTGTAGTATACAGTGATAGGAAATGTACTTAACAATTAAATATAATATAGACACATTTGATCAATACTTAATGACTTGAACGACCTATTGTTATAAACAATTTAAACTAATATTATAAGGATTTGATTTTTTGTTTGCAAGGGATATATTAAAAAAAAAGTGCAGCAAGGTCTCGTAGAAAAGTATTTGAAGTTTCATATGATGAATATAGTGAATGAAGTCAAGTCGGTTGTAACCTAAATTCATTTTCATTCTAACTTCCACTGGCGCCCCCCCAGCATATATTGTTAGCTAAGGAGTAGCCCCATTATAGCTTCTTTCTTAAAAAAGTTCTGCAAAGCAAAGCAACGAACGCAAAGTATACAATTGTTGGTAATTTGTGTATATGTGGATCAGTGAAGATAGAGTATTCTAACTTAGTTTGCTAGCAGGCAGTCGATTATGTAAAGTATTAGTAGGTAACTAGTACGGAACCAAATAATTGAAGCATTGATAATAATATTTTGTTAGTGGAACTGATTAAAAACGCATCCTTTAACTAGGCTTCCTTCTGATAACGAACTGAATGACCTCCGCAATTATGTTCTAAGGTCATTGTATTTGGAGAGTTCTTCTTTAATTACTTCAAATTTGTAGGTAACGTTGTTACATTTATTGATAACAGAAGTTTTTTGACTATGTAAAGTATTTCTACTATTTTAACAGGCTCAGAATTACATAGGGGTATCTATAGTATAGATACTGGGTTTCCCAGAACGTAAGAATAATAATAAAACTGAAGAACTTTCTACAAGAACGTATCCTTCTCCATAAACACTCTTCACACTAACCAAAGCTCAGCAAGAAATCAAAATGAGGATGAAAGTTCAATAGGGTAATGTTAAATTATTGAATATGATGCTTTAATATTTTATTAATTAGGTATGCCAAAGTATTTACTAAGTAACATTGATATTATTTGATTCACGGCACTGTTCATAAGTGTTAGATGACATTACAGGTTTATACATTGAAAATAAGTTCATTCACATATATTTGTTTCAGTT